AGCAGCAGGCATGGCATCCACTTCCTAAACCACATGCCTCTGGAAACTCCACAAACTCTAAACTCTATAAATGTACAGAAATGACATTAGTTATAGAACAGAGTTCAGGTCTTTTGTGCAAAGCTTACTGAGTCATAGTTGACTTGACACTTAACCACTGCTAAATGAGACTAGTGCTGCGATATCTGGAGGAACACTCTCCACTTTGCACATCACTCTTTGCCAATGTGCTGTATGAAGTAGCCTGGGTTGCTGTGAAGCAGAACCTTGTGCCATTGGGGTATCACATACCATAATGGTTTCCCAATGTGGAAAATGTTTGTTGGAGCTCCCAGTTTGTAAAACAGGTTTGGAAGCAGGAGTGGAAGCCACTTCCTAAACCACATACTGCTGGAAACTCTATGAACTTGGAGAAATAACGATAGTTATGGAAAGGTTATTAGGTCTTTTTTTCAGAGTCGCTTATGAGTTGTGCTCAATTCGATGGCAATCAACATCAACAACATTCAGTGGTATTAGGAAGCATTTAAAGATAATAGCAGGAATACACATTCACCCACCAAAAATAACCAACTGACATTGAACCATTTCAGGAAGTAGCTTATGAGCAAGAAACATTGGTAGTGAAGGAAGAAATACAAGCTACACCGAGTCACTGGAGGGAAAATATGTAAGGTCCTAGAAATTGGTGGGATAGAAATTTAAATATACTTCAATGAACAGATGCAGCCTTGGACATAATCACTAGTCTATGCCAAGAAATTTGGAAGACAGCAACGTGGCCAAGAAACTGGAAAAATTTCATATTTGTTCCCATTCCTAACACATGGTGATCCAAGAGTGGGGAAATTATCCAACAATATGAGAGACAAAGTATCATACAGACATGAATGACATGCATATGTTAAGGAAAAACTGATCTGAAAATAAAATGTAACCAGCAGTCCTATACTAAAACTGATGATAAAGCTAGGACAGAAGGATAGAATTGAGACCAGAACTATATGGTGCCTGGCTACCACAGGTGACCTCTCTAAAAGGGATCACAGGGGAAGAGTCTAGATAAGACTGGAGGGAACTGTGGAAAAAATTGGAGGCCAGACCCACTGGTCTGACAGATTAGTGGAACCCTCAACAAAACTTACTTCATTATTCGACTTTCAGCTAAACAATATTATTGTTATGTGTTGTCAAGTTGACTGAACTCACAGCAACCCTGCAAACAACATTCTGAACCTTGGCTTATCCCACACCCTCCTCTTCGCAGACGTGCTCAAACCCCTTGCTGGATTTACTTCATCAGTACATCTCCCTGAGGGGCTTCCTCTTTCTCTGGCCCTCCACCTTTCCCAGTTCTCCAAGGCCTGGCTCCTCCTGACAACATTGCCCAAAGGATGTGAGGCAGAGTTTCACCATCATTGCCTCCAAGAGACATCGTGCTTGCACTTTCTCCAAGACATATTTGTTTCTTCTTTGGGCAGTTCATGGAATATTCTCTTTTCCAACACTCTAGCTCAAAGGCCATCACCTGTTCTTCAGCTATCCTTATTCACTGTTCCAATTTTCAGATGTTAAGGAATGGTTTTTAGAAGTTAAGATGTAATCCATCTTGAAGGTGGTAGTCTTTGATCTCCTGCCTTGAGTGTTTCAAGTGTTCTTCACTTTGAGCAAGCCGGAGGCTCCATAACAGCACTTAAATTCTGTGCACCTCAACTTCCTCATGACGCAAGGGGACAATCACACGACTCCTCACCTTGTAGTTGTCATGAGAATGCGTGTGTGTAGAACACTTTAGAAAAGTCCCAGCACTGATGAAGTGAGTGCCCACTAAGTGCTGGTTAAACAAAACCAACTGGCCACAAATGTTATTTCTTCAGGGAAACATGAGTGAACGAGTAGCTGGGCCTCAGTCCCCACCTACCTGCCAACCTCTCCTCCACTCTTCCTTTAGCGCTGAGGCTGATATAAATGTGCTAAGTTAGTTTTTCCATTTTTTCCGCAAAAAATTATCTTCCATTCTAATTCTTGTACACTTCTTGTTAGGTGCTGCTGAGTATGACTTATAGCAACCCTATAAACAGGCATTCTGAAAACTGCCCTATACTATGACATCCTCATTCCTGACACTAGTGCCCACTGCTGAAGTCACAGTATCAATCCATCTTGTTGGGGATCTTCTATGACCCCCATCTTTCCAAGCGTGATGTCCCTTTCCAAGAAATGACCTCACCTAGCTACATATCCAAAGTATGAAAGATGCAGCTTGGTTATCCTTGCCTCCATGGAACATTCTGGCCACACCTTTTTCAGGACATAGCTGTTTGGTTTTTTTTTGGCAGTGTATGGGATATTCAGTACTCTTCTCCAGCACCACAACTCAAAGGCATCAATTCTTCTTTTGTCATTCTTATTCATTGTCCTGCTCTCTGACGCAAAGCAGGTGAACGAGAAGACCATGGCCTGAATCAGGCACATCTTAAGTCTTATATATTTACAGGGTATAATTTCCAACTCATAACCATATTTAATTTCTCTGACGCTAAAGGTAGCAGGAGTCAGTAGGGGTACCACTGCACATTCTTAAAAGATAGAAAATGTCTTTTCAGCTTTATTATGAAGTGCAATCCAAGGTCAAGGCAGCTGGATAGCATGTGTGGGTTGGGAGATGTGAAGGGTGCCTGGCCACTTGTGTTAAGTGCTCTGTAGTCTGTATCCTTTACAAACTATTTACTTGCATACTTACACTTACTAATATATATACTTATATCTATTAGGGAACGTTGGAGCCTAGTGGTAAGCAGTTCAAATCCACCAGCTGCTCTGCAGGAGAAAGATGGGCAATTTATAGCCTCTAGGCAGGGATTAGGAATCCAGAGGGAGACTCTCTGGAGTTGGTTCTGACTCAAGGGTATGTAGTAACAATGTATTTAAACTTTTAAGATAGAAAACAGGACCCTGAGCAGAACTGGAATTGGTCATGGTTGCGCCTCGGTTTTCAGAGATGGATCTCCAAAGACGAGGAAAGTGCAGCTGAGTGCAGTGTCCAGCCACGCCACGGGTGCAGGGTGAGGATGCACTTGTTCATACTTACCCCTCTCAACCTGAAGGCACATGCTTTGAATTCCCAAGCTCACCACTGGAGAAAGATTGGCAATCTCCTCCTGTGCAGTTTACAGCCTCTGGAAACCAGCTGGAGGGTTAGCACACAATAATGACATTTACAGAACGGTTTCTTTTGTCATCAGTATTTAATGGCTCAACCCAGGCCATTTCAACAAAAACCTGGCCTGGCTTCCAAAGCCCAAGATTTGGTGGTAGCAGCCAAGACGCCTGGCTCTCATTCTGCCTTATTAGGAGGGGCTAACTGCATCTTCTCTACTCCTTGTTCCTAAATCAAGCAACAAAATTCAGGATTTTTACTTTTGGATGAGAAGAGCATTTGTTTAGGATTATAATTTTTTTGTTTTTCTTTCTAGCCTCTTATCCCTTGAAGAAACTGTAATCTTTCTACTCAGTTTCCTGTGTGCTCTATGGTCAGGAGCTTCGAACAGGTTTCTTACTTCCTGATTTTCAGGAGCTATTCTTTACTTGGTTTGCTTGAGACAATGCAAACACAGTGACCCACTTCCTGACGTTTATGTGCTGGAGGTGTGGCCTTGAGTGCATGACAGCGGCCTGGGGAACAGCACTGGGGAGGCCTGGGCAGGTACACACCAAACAACTCTTTCCCTCTGTGGGCAAGGCTTTATTGAAAACCAGAATAAAAGTTAAAAAGACCCCAAAATTCTGAAAGGCTATTGTTTTACAAATGTATGCTCTCTTGAACATTTGATATCCCGCCCTCCACCCCCAGTAGGTAGTGAGAGAAATCTGGCAAAAACATTGCAGGCTGAATGCTTGTAAGGTGAAAGCTAACAGGTAACTCAGGAGATGCCATAGCATGCCATGGAGTCCTTAGCAGGTACACTGGTCAGTCAACTCCTTAATTGTTGGTTAATCTTAAACACACATGGAGTTTTCCAAACAAGCAGAACACCAGGTTCAAGCAGAAGTTCCCTGTTGCCAGGATTCTAATACGAGAGCGGCTCTGGGATCTGAATGTGCAGTGAGCTGGGTGGCCTCTGGGGAGACCAGGGCTCCTGGATACATGGCAACCTATAACCACACACCAAGGACCCACAACTCGTTAATCCCCACAGCACCTAGAGGCTAACTCAAACATTAACAGGGTATTCACAATTGTGTTTTTCTTCACTTTCACTGATGGTCAAGGCTGCAACCATCCGTGATCCTTGGCCCGGTCACAGTGGTCAGGTCCTTTGAAACCACAGGACTCTCAGACCACTGCTCACTCTGCACCAATCCCATCCTGCTCAACCTCATTCTTGGTTTAAATCCACTGCTGGAGAGTGCTACCTGCCACGGTTTTTAGGGTTCATTCAACTTGCTTCTGACTTCACTAATCATCTCTTTCTTGTAGGTACTTTCTCTAATTCAGCTTGATTGATTAAGACCTTTGACGACAAAACACTAATTGCCAGCTAGCTAATTTATGACAGAACTACTAACAAATTTGTAGTTGAGGCAACTTCTAAAAAGCTGTAAGAAATGTGAATATATGCTATTTTCTTTTCATTGTCTTACCCTTTAGTGTCACTGTTTAACTTGGGAATCAACATAAAAGTTTAATACATGAACAAGTTAAAAAGTGTCTATTAAGTAGGAGTGGGGCTTCACTTTTCCAAACATATTTCCAAAAGATTCTTTTATTTTAAAACTCACAGGAGTTGTATATAAATGCTTGTTAACAGGAAAGGTGTACCGGTTGCTTAAACGGATCATTTCTCTCTCTCTCTCCCTCTCTCCTGAAGTCCACTCTTCTCAAAGTCAAATGAATGAGGGCAGGTGGGGAGTTTTCTTTGTTTGCCTGGTTGGCTGTAACAGAGTCCTTCAATGATGGTAACCATGGGACCATGGTTTCCTTAACGGTTTGAGGATTATTAAAGTTTTGCAGTTACTGGTTTTCCTACTGGTACCTTACCACCTAAAATTTAAAAACAGAGAAAGGGAGAGAGAACTTAGAAATGACACTGACTTCATCATCATTACAATACAACTGTGTCTTAAGAAGCTATGGGCACAGATATCACCCTAGGGCTTCAACAATGCAGACACAGATCCCAGGTTGCGGAAAAAGGAACTATTTCAAAGAGGTAAATGGTCTTGGACAACACCAAACCACAGGTAGAAAGCTAGGACTTGAGCCCAGACAGCGTTCTGAACACCAGACAACGTTCTGAACACCAGGGCTAGAAAGTGCACACCCAGGTATAAGTGTTTCCTGTAAGACGCAAACTCCACGTCACAGACCAAGGCTTTGCTGCTGCTGTGTTAGGTATGGACCTTGTACCAAGTCAGAAACCAAAAGTTTCCAGAATACATATTTTCAGAGTTAGACATTAACACAGGGATAGGATTTCAACCTATTTTCAACACCATCCAGTACTTTCACCTTCTCAACTACTCTACCCATTTCTTCAAACATTCTCTGTGACCCCATGTGTTTCATCCTTACTTTCCTGGGTCCCAAAGGATACCAGTCCATTGCTCTTTCATGTTTAACCCACAGGGTGACAAGTGTACGGCAGTACAGTTAGCTACAGAAATACTATTCATCAAGGAAACAGAACTAGTCAATATAACCAGTGAATTATTATCAAATGTTACCACCACCTTCCTTCTAAACAATCACATTTATATGGAACAGTTTCAATCTCTGTATTGCTGCAGTCACTCATGACCTTGACAGCACACAACACAATAAGACCCAGCCTTCTGGCCTGAGTGCCTTCTTCCATAAGCTGGTGGGATCTATAGGAAGGCAGGGGCTGGATTACTCACCTTGGTTTTAAGTTCAGACTATCCATGTGTCTAGGACACTGACCTCAACTTCTGGTCCGGAGAAGGGGATCCACACATGAAGTGGGAGACAGGGAATCAAAGCAACTTCCAGAGGCATCTTCTACACGTGGGGCTGTCTGACCTGGATCAGTTACGCTAGAAATGGAATCTTCAGGTTCCATAAGGCTAGCTATCTTCGGATCTTGTGCTTTTAGTTTCGTTGGGGGAAGTCTAGACTAGCATGCTTTCATGATAATGACACACACTATATGATTTTTGTAAATGGCACAACCTTCACTGTTCATTTCTTATGCACATTGTGCATGGAATTTGAGCATGTTGCATTAAGAAATACAGTATATAAATAAGAAAAGTCTGTACATGGAGTTCATCTTGATAAAGTATTTGAAACTCTCATTTACTCTTTATATTGTTAACCTACATTAAACACAATGTAAAGTCACCTTTTATTACAATACACTTACCAAGCATTTCTTCCAATTTAGTTACAGCAGACTGATTCACGTTAAATATACATTCATTATCTCTAAAAGAAAAAAAAAAGACACCAAGCTTTGCTATTCCATAAACCGGGGGCAAAGACAAAATCCATTATTGTATTTTCACTTCTGGTTTGAAATACTCTTTCTCAAGGTCAGTTTTACATAGTTGAAAGACCCCTTGTATCTATCCTATTTCCTAGATTAGTTGTTCATTCTTTTGACCAAATAAGAAATAATAAGTTAGAGTTTACCTAACCCAGTAAGCTTCATCAGTCCCAAGTAAATTATCACACAGCTCTAGAGCGGCTTCTCCCGGAGAAACACACCATTCTCTGAAGTGGGGAGCAGGTGCTTCAACAACTCTGGTACCTTGTAGACCAGGGGCCTAGGCATATAGGACTTCATAAACACACACACACACTCTCTCTCTTTTTCTCTTTTAAAGTTTGCAGGGTTGCTTTTATGGTACACTTACTATTTTTCTAACCAAACTCAGCAAAGAAAGGGGTGGAAAGTGGAACCACAATCAGCCCTTGTGTGCAGGGAGCTGTTAGAGAGGCAGCATGGCCAGGTCCATGCAAGGCATCAAGGGCAGCTCTGAGCAGTGCCCGTGAGCACCTCTGGTCAAGGGCTGTTCTAGGTCTTATGTGATCTCTGGCAGGTTACATTCTAGGCCTCAAGCTCATTGCTACTGAGTTGTAACTGACTGACCCCCGAGAGAGTTTATAAGGCTGTCAGTTGCATGGAGGAGATTGTCCATCTTTTTCGCATGAAGTAATGAAGCAGCTGACAGATTCACACCCTAGAGGTACGGCCTTTGGGTCCACAGCGCCAACACCCTACAGACTATGCCACCAGAGCTCCCTTCTTAGCCAATTAGGGGATGGTTAAAGTAGAATATAACACCTGCTTGACTGACAAGTATTCCTAAGCTTTTGTCTGGGTTATGCGCTCCCACGTCAGGAGCCGCTATGGACATTCCAGGGACCATGACCAGTACTTACACTTTCTTCTTCTGTACTACATCTCGTCTCACGAGAGCAGCTAGGGCATTCTTCTGCACATCGGAAGATAATACATCATAACACTGAGAGGCACCTAAAAGAAACAGATGGGGGAGTTAATGGACCGGGATCCTTTCTGTTCTCAGCTAACAGAAACCACCACCAACACAGGTGAGCGACCAACCTTGGAGAAGTAGCTGATTCGTAAACTTTCTAATTCCCGTCACGTAGTGCTTATCGGAAAAGGAAGCTGCTGCTTCTTCTAGCAAGAGGTATCTGCAAATTATCTAATTGTAAGAGGAGAATGAAAGGAAGAGGAAGAGAAAACAGGTAGCCAAACGTAACAGGAAAGAACTTGGCATTTCCCCTCTTATAAAAAGGCTTCATCTCAATAGAGCAGGGCAAAGGCTCTCCAGGATCTGAGCAAAGAAAACTGGGCAGGCAAAATTTTTAGGAACTCAGTCCTAGATTACCTTTACAACTGAGAAAAAGTATTAAATAGTTTGTTTGTTTTTTTAAATACAAGGTCTTCCTTTAGTTAGTTTAAAGTTAAACTATCAACTTAATATATATTTAATGCTGGTTAGGAAGAGAGGGGTCAGATTTTTTCCCCCCCAAACTTAGCATTTTTCTCTTAAACCCTACAAAGTGTTTGGTCCTAAAGTATTGGATGATCGTTCCTGTCAAGGAGGGCTATGATGGCCTAGTCAGCAGTGATGGTGTTGATTAGAATCCACCAGGGACTCTGAGGGAGAAAGAGGGGCAGCCTCCACCCATGAGATCTACAGCCTTGAAAAACCCGGAGGCTCAGCTGGAGTCAACAGCAATGAATTACTGTAAAAAGCGCTCAAAGGGAAGAATGACTATTCACAAAGTACCTAATCAATGCTCTATTCTGTGGAGCAGTTGGTGGATCTGAACTGCCAATCTCTTGGTTAGCAGCCCAGAACTTTATGCCCTGTGCCACCAGGGTTCCAATGAATATATACATAAACAATACTGTACTCAATACATACAATGAGAACACAGATTTAATGTTCACGTGGGAAGACAGTGGCCCTTTAAAGCAGAAGCCTAGGACTGGAAGATCCTAGTTACAGTGATCTGGAAAAGACGCAAGAACCCACCGAGTCTGTACATACCTGGTAACACTCCACAAAAGGCCTGATGAGTCCTTGCAAAAATTCTACTACAGCATTTCCTTTCTCTGTCACTAGGATGTCACTGGTCTTCACCTGTATGGCCTCACACTTAGAAAGCAGATAACAGCCTTCTTCAAAGTCCTGGAAATGGGAGAGGAGGCCACAGCATACCCAGTGACTCAGGAGAATGTGTGCAGCACCAATGTCAGTCCACGCAGCCCCTGGCCCGTGGGCACCCCTTGCCCTGAGTGTACCACCCTTCCCAGAACTCTGTGTCAGAGAAGGGACAGAACAGGCAGCCTCCCGATGCTCAGGTGGTGACCTCACACAGCACACACGGATTCTGAGCCTTAAAAAATCAGAGCCCAGGAGATGAATCTTCTCTCACTTGGCACTGATGAACTCCTTAACTAGGAAATGCATATGCCCAGTGCTAGACATACTTAAAAGAAGTCATAATTTACACTTTTTAAAAGTATTAAATTATTTTATCTACTCTTGTAAGGAGGGTACAAGACAATCCTACTATAAACAGAGCTGCAGGGCCAGTTTTCAACAACTCACCTACAGGAGTTATTAAACCAAGCAAAGCAAACCTACTGCCATGTGGATGATCTGACTCACAGCTGCTAACCCAGAAGTTGGGGGTTTAGATCCAATAGCCACGCCTCTGTAGAAAAAGGAGGCAGTCTGCTTCCAGAAAGATCTGCGGCCTTAATAACCCTGTAGGGTAATTCTGCTCTGTCCTACCCAATCGATGGGAGTTCTCACATCACAGAACTTTAAAACACAGCTTTGGCCAAAAACAGAGTTTTGAGAAATGCTAGACAGAAATGATACTTAAATATGTAAGAATATTAAGATGACTTTTTAAGTAGCATTTGTTTTTGACTGAGGGATAATAAAGATCTTTCAGAAAATAAAAAAAAAAA